AACCCTGAAGCAAAGTTAGTATGCCATATGCTCACTTGGTAGGAATAGAAGTTCCACCATAAATAAAATGGGCTAGGAAAAAGTCAGAAAGAAAGGGGTGGAAATGGAGATGAGCATGATGACTTGACATCTTAAGCCATAAAAATTCTTGTTTAAATAGCAGCAATCTGGGTTGATGTTTGAAAAGGATGAAGATGACAAATGTCAGCAGAGGATGCCGTTAAGAGAATTTATTTATTTTAAAGTGATTTAATAGAAAATATTGTATGGACTTGAAAGTGGAATACAAAGCTTTTTAGTTCTGTGTCAAAGATTAGTCCGTCTTAGACTGATAGTGCCTAAGCTCTTGTCTACACTAAGATAATTTGGAAGCATAATTGTGGAAGCTATAGCGTAATCAAAGCTGAGATATCCTGTTGCCTAGACCCCCTCAAGTAGTGTTCAGTAATGCAGTGTAAAAAAATTCTGAGCCTTTTGATCCTTGGCTAGATGACAAATTTTACCAGAGCTCTCACTAGGGGAGCTTTCCCATTTAAGTGTTATGTATTCACAGAGTCTGACACTTAAATCTGTCCCCGCTGAAGTCCATTGGAGTTTTGTCATGGACTTCAGAGGGGCCATGGCTTCATGCCCACCATCAGTAAGGCCTTAATAAGAAGAGTCCTCCAATAAAGAGTTTCTGAATAGTGTAGGTTGCTTTTTTCTGGAAGCAGTTGGTCTTCAGTATCATCTTTACCACTGGTGGGCCTGTATATTCTCTGCATTGCAGCAGTTTGTTGGCTTGCAGAACTACTTCTCAGGAGTGTTGTGATGGATTAATCACTGTCTACAGAACTGTTTTAAGATGTTCATAGTGCACTGTGATGATAGTCCAGCAGGGAGCTCTTTGATAACCTTGTGGTAATGGTTCACCAGCCACAGTACTTGAGGTTTCTAGTTGCTATATATAAATATCAAGGACAGGAGTCTCCCTTTTGGCCTTCTGTAAATTTTCATGATATTGTACCTCAAGGTTCTCTGTTTTG